GCCAGGTGTGGTCTGGTGGAGAGAGAATTACCAATTTTAGCAGCCAACGGCAAATTAGCAACCTTGTTTAAAAACCGGATGGTGTCCATCTGAAATAAACATTTATTTATACAAATGAAATAATACTTTCTGTATTGTATGTACTATCTTTGAAAGACATGCATAAAATAACCAAAAGTGGAACCGATTAACAAACTTTGACCACCAATTCTTCTGTAAACCCTAGCACGGTACAGAATAATAACACTGTAATGCAAAAAATTTAATGAAAACCAAGATCGAAGGAGAAGAAGAAGGTGTCGTACTAGTCACGAAACGAAACACTCCCAACTCTGCTTTTCTCGCCGGCCCTTTTCTTTACAATACTGTAATTCTTATAAACTGTGGCAAACCGAATAAAGAGGAATTGGGGGTAGAGGTACGAAGCCCAGACCAGCCCAACTCTTTTTCATTTTAATGTACTGGCCCAGCCCAATCTTTTCTCTTTTTACTCTTTTGCGCGCAAAGCTTATCCCAGTGAAGCCTATTTGCCTAACAACTCTCCAACTTGTTTTTCTAATTTTTCACTTATTACATTATTTTTTTTTTCGTTCTTTTTTTTAAGAAGTATTTTGTTTTTTTCACATATTGAATTGTTAAATTTAAATAGCCATTTTACCATAATAATTTTTTGAATAAATTGTTCAATTGGAGCACTAACATCCCACTTGACATAGATGAGAGGAATGAGCTTCATGATGTTGGTCTTGCATTCATGGATTCTCCCATTGAAGTTTAAAAGGTCATGTAAATTTCTTTTTTATCTTTTATTTTATTTTATTTTAATGGGTTAGTTGTTTTTTTTTTTTTTTTTTTTTTTTTTTTGTAAAGACAATATTGTAAGTGTGTGGCATTTGCTTAAGCTTAATATATATATATATATATATATATATATATATATATATATATATATATATATATACTTTTTTTTCTTTTGTCTTGCAGAAGGGATTGGTTCGTCAACAGCATATGGAATCACTAGCAGTTGGATCAAATCTCCCTCGATGGTCAAAGATTGATAAATACTACTACAGTAGAAAAAGTAATTTCTATAAACAGTGTAGGAAAAGTTAAAGTAAAGTATGCTAAACTGATGGAGCCATCTTAATGTCGCAATAAACAATTCAGCCACCAGGATAAGTATAGAGGAACGAGAGGAGTCCTTGCACAATCGATTGCAATCTTGAGTCTTTCCTTTTTGTTCATTGACATTGTGCATTGACTACCCATAAATGCAAAGTTTCAAAAATGGAGATTGTCTCTCTCAGAGATTGTCATTGTGAAACCGTTCATAAACAAGAAAAAAAACACTCATCCTTGCCCTCACAATGGTCTATCAAAATTCACACGGTTGGGATGTCTGACATGCATGCCATAGGCTTTTTACTTTCCGGACATATGTCTCCACGGGTCCCATCTTCTGGGTAGGTGCATAATTTACGGTAGACCAGAGCCTTAGGCGAGTTACGCGATTTCTTAACACTCCAATTAATAAGAAGGCTCATAAATTTTCCTTTATTTATATATTGTAACTTTCCTATAATAACTGTAACTTTTCAAAAATTTCTAAAACTTTCAAAGGTTTCTAAAACATCACTATCATTTCTCACCTTTGTTTCTCTAGGGGCCCCCAATTTTTTTTTTTCTGCACTTATTAAATCTACATAAAAATTTTTATTCTCTTCTATTATTAAACTTCTACCAATAAATAAATTTAATAGTGAGCTCAAAACATTTCTATCCTTATATTACTTTTATTCTCTCTCTCATTCTCATTACATTAGCGTAAATATTTAATAGTATATATTTAACCATTGTGGTGTAAATTGGTGAAACTTTCCATTATATTTTTTTAAGAATCCTATTCACTTTTATTTTTGGGTAAATTACACTCAGACCCTTAATGATAGGTCAATTCTTACCTAGATTAAGATTTTGATTTTAATTTTCACTCATATTTGAAAGATTTGAAAGAGTGATTTCGTATTTCACCTACACCCTAATGTTAATTTGTAGTGATGTAAGTGTACTTTTTAGGTATAAAATAACTATTATACCCTTTTGACCACATGTTGACTAAAAAAATAAAAGGTGTATTTCAATTTTTTCATGACAAAAATACCCCTCAATTTTTTCATGACAAAAATACTCCGAAGTGACATTACAAGCAGCTTTGAAAGGCCACTGTTCCTCTTCCTCCACCCTCATTTGATCTCAAACACTCTTTCTTAGCTCCTCCGATCTGACCCACCATTCACCCTCTAATCTCGTCTACGTCATCCTAGAGTTCGGCGACGTGGGTGTCAAAATTAAAATCTTCAGGTAAAAAAAATGAAAGTCAAAATTAAAATCTTCAGGTAAAAAAAATGACCTAATCTCAATGGGTCTGAATATAATTTACCCTTTATTTTCTCTCTATTTTTATTCCTTTCATATTTTTTCTCCTCTCTCAATATAACTGTTTTTTTCATCTTCCCACTTTACAATCTCCCTATCTCTTTCCGGCATAAAATTTTGAATACACTTTTTTTCTGTTGAAGAATTTGTTGGAGGATTGGAGTTTCTATTATTTTATAATTTAAATTAGTTAATAGTTTTATTAATTTTTATTATTATAAAATTATATATTTTGTTTGTAAGTTGTCATTATTTTATTTATATTGCTGAATATGTCTACTAGAAAGCACATAGCCAATTAATTAATAATAGAATTAGAAATTAAAAAAAATATTTAGTGCCAAATTTAAAAATCACAAAATAAATAATGAGCATATTAATGAACATACAGGTAGATTATGCTAAAAGGCCACATTATTGTTAGTATTATTATTATTATTTTATTGCCAACGGCCTCAAATATATTGAGCCCCCTAGCTTAATTGCAGCATGTTGCCTATTTAATATTATGCCTATGTAGAAAACGGACTTGCTTGTAAAGTAGTAGTTCATTCCTCTACACCTTTCATGAAAAAATAACAGTTTCGCGCCAAAACCAAGCATGTCTTTCAGACTGCCCATTTAATTTTTTTTCTTACCTAAAATACCCTCAAAGTAATATTTATATATAATACATGGCTTAGTTCGATATTAATTTTCAACTTGAAATTAGAGGATAATACTCGCACTTGCTTATGAGTATTACAAAAATAAATAAATAAACAATCCATTTGTTTCAACATAAAATATCTTTATCGGAAAATATTTACCTTTTTTAAGTACTTTTTATTTTTAATATTATTTTTTTTTTTTGTTATTTGGTAAAAGATTTAAATCGAGGTTGAGGTCGAATCTACGAGGTTGGACGTGTAAAATAACTTATAAAAAATTTATGAGTAAATTATTTTTGTTAAGTTTTAATAAAATATTTTACTTCGTAAATATTTTAATTAAATTTTTGACAACCAACTAAAATTTTATAGTAATTTATGTTCAATATAAACAAGTAGAAATTCAAAGAATTTTGTAAATTTATATATCTGACCTAGAACACCCTCAAACGGGATTAATAATTGCAAACAACTAATAACAACATTTTTTCTTTATTTTTTTTAATCAAAATTACTTATCAAGTGATCAATCCTTGAAAGCTATGGTACTCTTGACATTTTATAAAAAGTTAATTATATAATAACTATGGAGATAGTGACCTCAATTATTGCAATGAAACAAGAATGTAGCTTATTGGCACGAGTCCAAAGAGTAGATCTTCGTGCTAGATTTGAGTAATAGACGAGCTTGAAGATGATGTTAAAAGTTGACTACGCACTTAATAAACTAACAAAAATTTGGTTATCAGACAATTTTCAAAAGCTATATTAATATAAATCGGTTTTTAGAGAGTTATAAATGATTTTTTAAATCTTATTTTTAGTAAAATGAGTTTATAAAAAAAATAAATTAAAATCAATAAGCAATTAGCTCAAGCATTACCCCTCTTCCTTTTAAATTGAAGGTTGAGGTTCAAATACCGTCTAAATAATAATGTGAATTTTTGTGAATTCTATCTCACCTAATATATTGTATAAATACTTGCATATTATCAAATCAGATAATAATTCGTTCACAAAATATATTAAGATATTGAGTAATAGTTTTATGGGATTTGGATAGGATTGGCCTCGATCCGATCCAAATTCGACATGTTTACAAGTTTCGGTGTAAAATTTCTCGTGTTAGCTTTCACATTACTGTCAACCATATCACAAGAGTCGCATCATATGACACATTAATAAATGACAGAAAGTGGTATTACACTATTACTCTCCCTTTGTTTCAAAACAAGTGATTCTTTTGGGAAATTGTGACTTTCACGAACAGAAGATTCACGATTTCTTAAAAGAGGCACTCTTTTTAGGATTGAGCAAGTATATGCTTTTACTCTTTATGTTGCCGAATATAAAATTGAAATTTTTATATTTTGTAAAAAATATGTCCTAATTTTTTGATTCTTAGGGATAGCAATTTGCCTTGCAGGGACAAGTATCCGCTCCGTTTATAGCAATTTTAGTGGATTGTTTAGCCTATTTGGGCAGAAATATTTTTTATTAATGAAAATCAGCATTGGTTTCAGGGCGAGAGCGGGGAAGGTCACCCCACCCTGCCCCGCCCCATTTAAATAGGTAAATTACTAAATTATTTTTATTTTATTAGTATATATAGTTAGGTCTAAAAACTCTAAATCACATTTACTCACTTTCTTACTCGTTCCAGAAAGCGGCAAAGCTCTGCGAATTAAGAACGCTTATACTTGAATTTTATGTTAAATTATTGATTACTCATTTTTATGAATTTTTTTTATAGTTATATAATTGTATTTGAAGGGAAAAAAAAAAAAATGAAGAGAAATTTGGAACTAAATAGGGCGAGGCAGGTGCAGCAGGGTGAAAAAGTTAAACGGGATGAGAATAGGGGAATGGGGTGGAAAGGCCCCGTTTAGGCAGTTTTGGGCGGGGACGGGTCGAAGGTTTCTAAATAATTTTGGGAAAGAAGGAGGGTACATCCGCCCAAAACCGTCCCGATTTCCATCCCTACTCATATTCATATGATGTGCCTTAAAACAATTTTCCCTAAAATTACCTATTGCATATGTGAGGATGGATTGCATGAGCCCAATAATAAATTAGGAAGTGTTTTAGCACCGCTAAAAATAAAAAATAAAAATAAATAAATAAATAAAATCACATAGTGTGGCAGGCAAGCCTTTGACAATAATGTACTCTTACAACTTTTAAAATGAAATATTGGGCAATATAGTCTTTTTACTTTAAATTTATCGACGAAAGAAAAATTCACATATATATTCTGATAAAAATTATCTTCTCCTCCACCAAAAGGTTAAGTGTAATAAATTGATATGCAGTAGAGTTACGTGCAATCAACCCATGTTCGGCACCTTTACACGTGATAGAATCAACACAAACGTGTCTGATCCATTCTCTAATTCTCGAGAAGGGGAGAGATCGAGAGAATCATAGAGGAAGAATCTCCGATGGGATTCGCCGGTGGAGCTACCACCGCGGACGGCGGCTATTCAGAGTCATCTCCGCTTCTCCCCACCAATCCCAATCCCCCCAAAGACTCCTTCCACTTGGCCTACACAATCTACTTCACCCTCGGCGCAGGTTTCCTCCTCCCCTGGAACGCGTTCATCACAGCCGTCGATTACTTCTCCTACCTCTACCCCGACGCCGCCGTCGACCGCGTATTCGCCGTCGCATACAACCTCGTCGCCGTTGTCTGTGTCCTCTTCACAGTCGTCTACGCGCACAAGTCCAACTCCGTCCTTCGCATCAATGTCGGTCTCGGCCTCTTCTTGGTGGCCCTTCTCGTCGTTCCGATCATGGATGTGTTCTACATTAAGGGCCACGCTGGGCTGTATGATGGGTTCTACGTGACGGTGGCGGCGGTGGGGCTTTCGGGTTTCGCCGACGCGTTGGTGCAGGGTGGGATTATTGGGTCCGCCGGTGAGTTGCCCAAGAGGTATATGCAAGCTGTTATTGCCGGGACCGCTGCTTCAGGTACTATAATGCTATAATATTCTGTTGTTTTTCTGCTTTCGAATTAGGGTTTTTCGTTTTCAGTAAGGGATACTTGATTTTGTGAATTGTGTTAGTTTGTGCTTAGTTGATTTAGATTCGGTAATAATTTCTATTATTCAAAAATATTAGGTAGTGGTCATACAATTATTATTATAGGTGTTACTCAGAAATAACAAAGTCCGGTCAATCATCAGATGTCATATATTTAAAAAGTTGAATAAAATTTGATATTTCTAGTGAAAAGTTATTGAAGAAAGAAAATTTCAAATATACATTCTGATAAAAATTATCTTTCTTCTTTTAAAAAATAGACTTTGATACTACTGAGTCATTGGCCTATTAATAATAATATTACTTATATTATGTTTGAAATTTGAATAAAATTTATTTTAAATTAATTATGACTAAAAAAACAAAAATAAAACATGCTGACGACTAATGAGGCCCGAGCTCAGGATTAGCATCCCTCATCATAGACATAAACAATTATTGGGTTTACTGAATACTATTGGAATGATAATCCACAATTATTTTTTTACTTTATCAAATCTTTAGTGAGGAAAAGTTGTGAAAATATAAGATTTGATGGTAACATTTTCAGTTATCTATTTTCTTCTGGCTATAGTGTTAGTCAATTCTTGCTCGTATAGATTATTTTCTGACTCGTTTATAATGGGTCAAATATGAGTTAGGTCATTCCGTAAAACTCAATGACCCATTTTCATTCTTTTATTCTTTATTTAAAAAAAAAAATACATTTTACTATTAGTTCCATCTTGTTTTACTAAAAATTAGGGAAACATAATTTTAATTGCTTTCATTTAGTACATATATATATATTCTTCAATCTTTAAAAAAAAAAAAAAATTACTTTTATATTATTTTATGAAATTTCAACCTTCAATTGCAAGGCCTGACCGTTAAAAGACGCCCATTTTACTATACCAACCCGTTTACAAAACCCGACCCATTTACACGACCCGACCTACTTACACAACCCTGACCCACTTAACCTTTAAAAACAATCCTACCTAAAGAAACCCTTCAACCATTTAAAAATATTAATTATATTTTCAAATCACAGAAAAATACATAGCGAAATATATATATATATATATATATATATATATATATATATATATATATTCTTTCATATTGTGAAATTTGTATTAAAGTGGAAGAGAAGCAAATGATGTACAAATGGCCAAGTCAAAAGCAAATGCCCTGTCCAACCCACTGACAGAGCCAAAATACAAACAAACAGGGTCATATGCATGTGATCAGGCAGCCCTACATTATTTTTTGTTGTTAAAATATATGTATGTACAGGTACCAATGACTGACATTTTATAGTCATAATTTGTCAAAAAAAAAAAAAAAAATTCAAATGAGACGGTGGAAGTTTATGTGCAACATTCCTATCATAATAATATATTATTATTCTTTAAAACAAAAATATAAAGATACACATACATATTTATATAATAATAATAAAAGACACACAGAGAGACAAGGATAAAAATCTTATGAAGAGGGACTTTAAGTCTGATATATATATATATATATATATATAGAGAGAGAGAGAGAGAGAGAGAGAGAGAGAGAAAATTTTAGAGAGGGGGATCGTGAGAGAGCCGAAGAAAGAGAGAAAGAAATCTTAGAAAGAGAAGAAAATTGGAATCTAATGCTTTGCCACTTGTCAAAAAATGTGCATTACTAAGTTGATTTGAAAAAACAACTTCAAACTCAACAATATTTATGGAGTCGTTTTAGCGAGGGAGAAATAAAGAAAAGAGAGGAAATTTTTGAGAGAAAAACTTAAGTGAGAGGAGATTGATAAGAGAAAAATTTAGAAATAGTGCAACATAAAATAGATGTGTGTTGTGTTATTATGTGATAGGTGAAATATGGATTGAATATAGTTTTGACCCATATTCAAGCCATCTTGATCCTCGGTTAAAAATTACCCAATTCATTTTTGACCCACTTTAAATATGATTCATCTAAAATAATTTTAAAAACTAGTAGATATGAGGGGTTGTGAATCATTTTGCTACCCCTATGCAAGACTAATATTCTTTCATATTTACTAATTAATTCTATTGCAAAGCTCCACACAACTAAGCAAAGCTTTTTTCCAACAATATCGATACTTCTACTAATGCTTTGTTAGAAATTGGACGAAATTTAGTTCAAACGGATGATGACTGGTTTATGTTTGGAAAGTATTTCAACTAAAGCAACTAGGAAAATATACAATTAATCTTTTATATCTAGAGACTCTAGTGAGGTCTTCTTGTGAAATTATAATATTTCATAATAACGTTTTCAATTATCTATTTCCTCTTGGCTATAGTGTTAGCCGACTTTTCTACAAACAATTATTTGGTAGTACAGATTACTCTCCATATAATAATTTAAATTCAAGTTTTGTATTTGGTGAAGTTAAATTAGATATTTCGTGAATGGCGAGAGAGGTCGTATGGATACAGTATTTGTCCAAATTAAGTATTAACTATACGCTTATTTGTATTTAAGTATTTGTGGTTATGCAAAAGAACCATGTGGAGTAAAGAGTTTTTATTGATAGGATCATTGTAAGAAAGGCGAATTATAAAAGGGTTACTGAAATGGTTTAAAAAATTAGATTTATTCTTCTGTAATAGAATCCACGCCTATGCGGGAAGGAATTCTATACATTCAGTACTCCGAAACGGTATCGTTTTGGTACATAAGACTGAATCCCCACACCGGAGGGGATTTAGGTAGCCATGTGTCTAACCTTAGTATGTCAGGTATTTAAATGAAAGAAAGCCCTTCTTTTTGCAACTGGCTATACTTATGCTGGACATATTTGTCATGTGAGTTCAAGTGCTCAACGGGCCAAGTTCAATAGTTTATATTCTAAAACAAACAAACCATTTAAATCTTTTTTGTACTGTGGACCTTAGGAGTTCTTGCTTCATTTCTAAGGATCTTAACCAAAGCTGTATATTCACAAGACAGTCATGGCCTGAGACAAAGTGCAAATCTTTATTTCGTCGTCAGTATTGTCATGATGTTCATATGCATTGCTTTCTACAACGCGTCTCATAAACTTCCAGTTATAAAGTACTATAAAGACCTGAAGAGACAGACAGTTAGTGAAGAGACGAAAGAGAAAGGCGTCTTGACCGGCGCATTATGGAGATGGACCTTGTGGGAGATTGTTATGAGAGTGAAGTGGTACGGATTTGGGATTTTCATCATCTATGTTGTGACTTTGTGTATATTTCCCGGGTATATTACGGAGGACGTGCATTCCCAGATTCTCAAGGACTGGTACCCAATCCTCCTTATTACCGGTTACAATGTGTTTGATCTGGTTGGCAAATCTCTGACTGCACTCTATCTCCATGAAAATGCAAAGGTCGCAATTGGTGCTTCTTTTGCTAGGTTGTTGTTTTTGCCCCTCTTCTTCGGTTGCCTGCATGGTCGAGAATTCTTCCGAACAGAGATTCCGGTGACAGTACTGACTTGCCTTCTGGGCCTTACAAATGGCTACTTCACCAGTGTGTTGATGATTTTGGCTCCCAAAACTGTGCAGATGCAACGTTCAGAGACTGCAGGGATTGTGATTGTGTTGTTCTTACTTGTTGGTCTTGCCGTTGGTTCAGTTGTATCTTGGTTTTGGGTAATATAGTACTTCTGCTTGCGTACTTTGATATCTTTGGCTCACACTGAGACCGTAACGCAAGCTACTCTGCTACCGGAAACCATGGTCTTTGCACCTTGTTCGTATCAAATTTGAATGATCATATACTGTAATCCATTTTTCAATCAAGGAGACCCTGCCAGTGCTTTTTAGATAATCATGCAGACTGTAAAATTTCCTTCGGTAATGACAACAAATTAGGGCAAGCACCGGTATGCGTAGACAAGAATATTATAAGCACTGGCAGATTTTAAAATTGAAAAGCAGCTTTATATTGCCATATTTTCAGCTCCACTCATAGTTGGAGATTTTGCATTTTTGAGGCAATCGAAGGCTTTGAAACCCGTGAGATGGCACAGATAGTTGCTTATAGATAAAGCGGATTTGTAGATCAGCTGACACAAAACTTGTGTGATTGAGCCAGATGAAGTTAATTGTTCCCACATGTATTGTTTAACAACTTGTTACTTCTTTTACCAATAATTCTCATCCTAAGTTCAGCAGTATCTTATGTGCCAAAGGCAAAACTGAAGAAATAGAATTAAAAAGTAAAACCCCAGTTTTGAGAACTAACAAGATCTCAAACGTATCCTAGAAAAGAGCATCATAGCCTTCCATGCTTGTGGTGATTTTACAAAGGCCTGGCATGACTTATGGTCAACCCATCATCATCATTCATCAGCAATTATTTCACAAAAAATGAAAGATTCGGGTACATTCTTCTAAAAAACTTATCTAAAACAAGTTATTATATTTGAAGCATTACAAACTGCAAAATAGCATCATCCCCTAACAATTCTACAATGACATGTAATCGGGAAAGCAATAGCATCAAGGAAAAAAAATATATAAATGTTCTAAGAAATCAATGATAAAAGAAGCAAAACACAGGTACCTAATTCCATCAGGTGTTAGACCTCAAAGCAAGGCCAGTCTCTATTTTCTTAATTTCAAATATAAGCATCCTCCACATCTTCAGCACAAACATTTCAGCTTCATCATCCAAGATGATCTGGAGCCTCTCAAGCATATCGGATGCCTTCACATGCTCCGCAGTGCTGGAAAGTATGTAGTCTACCAGTGTTTTCTCTTCCTCTCCCAAAAACTCTGTAATCTTCTTAGAGATCCATGGTTTCATTCGTTTATGCAGGTCATTCTGTTAAAGTGCGTTAAACAACAACGAAAAGCACATTCAAGATAAGAAAAAACCATCATGACATAAAAAATGAACTAAAGGTATTTGAACTCTTCAAATATTTTTGCTATCCATTCTACCGAGTGTGAGTACTGATAAACAAACATAGACCAAGCCAACACAAGTAATTTCAGATAGTACTGTCACAATGAACAAATTAGCCAGATCTTGTAACTGCTTTGTTCTCATTGCTTACATAGCAATGATGTGGAATGTCAAGGGCAAATGAACTCCAGAATTCTGGTGGGTACTGTTCAAAACCGCCCATATAAAATAAGTGATGATTGATTAATCGAACTGTACAAGCAGTAATTTCATGTAATTTACCACAAGCAAAAGGGTCTAATAGGTATTCAACCAAAAAAAAAAAAAAAGAAAAAAGGGTCTAATAGGAGGACGAACAAGATTTTTATTCATCTATAATTGATTTGGTTTCTCAAAATCAACGAGTAGAAGTGTCCATAAAGCAGGAGTGACAGAGCATGGAAACGTTAAACCTAAAAAATATTAGACCAAGAGTGTCCTGAGAGCGTGTGCCTATTTACTTCAATATCTACATACAAAAAGTTTGTAAGATTTAAAATTAAATGCTAGAGTTATTACTTTTTTTTGTAAGTAAGCTTTCATAAAAGGTGCTCAAGAGGGGAACTTTCCTAAAAGAAAACACAATAAATTTTAATTAGTTGATTGCAGAACCCAAAAAGAATTATGTGATATTTTTGATAACCCAGTTCAGCGCTGAATACATTTAGCACTTGTTTAATAATACAACAAGGATACTACTTTAAGGAATAAATGCCACTTAAAATAGAACAAAATTTTAAGCGATGGAGACTTCACTTATCACTTAATACTTAATCTTTTTTACAAAGTATAAAAATACATAAATTAAATTTTAGGTGAAAATTTTAGGTGAATGAGACTTCAGATATCACCCAGTACCTAACGATTTTAAAAAGGTACAGTACATAACGATTTTAAAAAGTAATTAAAAAAAAAATTATTAACTTATAACTAACACTTAAAATTCATTCTTAAAATTTCCGGTGCTTAATTTTCAGTTTTTATAAAGAAAAAACACCTTACTCTCTAGGGACAAATGTATAACAATACAAGTTTAAGGGCTTTAGGTGAACACACCAAGGGTTCCCCGCCATGTCTTTTTTTTTTTTTTTGATAAGTCCCCCGCCATGTCTTTTAGTAAAGAAGAAAACAACAGAGCCATTTACAGAACAAAAGGAAAGCCTACAATATGAAGATGCCGAAACACACAGAATAGAGAAACAAGAGGAGAACGATGACGACACATCTGCACCTTTAGCTGGAGAAGCTACTGGCTCCAAGTAGGTCTGAAACTAACTTCCCATCAGCAATTGGTCTTGCTATCTTTCCATTCTTCTTCTCCTTCAAACAACGAAAGCCTAAATGCCCTAAAAAAATTATTGCAAGAAAAAAATAGCACACCTGCCGAAATTCTCCATTATTACCACTCTGTTTTGTTGGGTTGTAGGGCGAAATTATAGATCTTTAGAGGAGAGTTGATTTTATGGGCTCTTTGGGAGTTTAGAGGCCCCATTTGGCCTTGTCTAGTTCTCTTGGGATGTGATTCCCTTTTGATCGCTTTCTAATACATTCTTATTTATCAATAAATAAATAAATAGCACACTTGCTTCCCTGTCTTCATTGGTCACCATGCCAAAGTTGGCGACATCATGAGTTTCTTTGTTCCGCAAATCATTGTCATCTTTTTCTGTGTCCTCAACTGAGGGCTTTGGAGATTCTGTTTTTTGAACACCCGGTGCATTTTCTTCCTCTTTATCAGTCCCTTCAGTTTCAGTTTTGAGTTTCTTTGAGTTCTCTTTTTTCTTTTCAACATAACTCTCTAAAACTCTCGTGTTGCCTGATTGACATTTAACTGCAATATGCATCAAATTTACCCCAACTACACCTGATTCTACTGTCACATCAAATTTACACCTGATTCTACTTTCACATCTTGGATTGGCAATGTCTGCGATAATCAAAATTATCAAGGATTTAGCAAAGAAAATGTGATTCATGACCCTAGAATCTCAATCCGTGGATTCTCACTTCTCAGAAAGTAGTTCGTGGAATCTTGCCGCACCCACCCTTAAACCGTCAATCTGCACTTGGAACTACAGGACAGCATCCCCCAAACGGATTTTATGACTTGGGAAGGGGGAAGGAGAAGAAGAGTTATTTGGAAAGAAAAAATTAAAAGGACGACACTACAAGAGACCATCAATTTAGAAAGCAGAAATCATTTTCTTTTCAGCTATCACATAAGAAGACACCTCTATTTAATAAAAACTTATGGTTCAATAGCTAGGCAACCAATACATGTTTCTACTCACACTTTTGAGCTAGCAAGAAAAGAGTTGTTTATTGTTTTTCCTTACCAACAAAAAGTCTAGAAGTTTAAGTCTGCAAAATCCTGGATCCCATGAAATCCTAACTGCACTCATATCCCCATTCAATATATTCACTACTAGTACTCATCCTTAAGTTGCCACAACCATCATGACTACAGTTTTAAGATTTCCACGTAGGGGCTTCACGTTGTCATATGATTCATAATAATATTGCTTACTTGCAGTAGTCCTTTTATCTATACTAATATATACAAGAAGTTTCCTACTTATTGAAGCAAACCATTCTGCACTATCTCAAGAGGAAAATGTTCTCAAAATTTCAAGAGTGACACTTGAAAAACTAAAAACAAATGGCACTGGAAGTGGTGCTTACCTCATCATATATAGCCCAATTTATTTTGTATGAGAATAACTCCTCCTTTGTCTTGGGGATCATATCAATCAACTGTTTTGCATCCAAAAGCTTCTGATTATCTGGTGTTTTCGCTCTATCCAGTCCATGTTCCCGATCCCTCTCACGATCCAAAGTCACTTTTCTAGTCTCATTTCTGGTACGATTACTCTCCTCATTTCGGTCTCGATCACGCTGGCCAGACCTATCATGGGAACGCCGGCTTCTTTCCTTTTCCATATCAGGTCTCTCTTCTTTGGGAGTTACATTTGAGATACGCTTCGCAAATTCTGCTGCCGCAACTAAATTTGAAGCTGGTTCACCAGAAACAGTAGGTTGGCCAACCTGCAATTCCTCAGTTGAATAGTCAATGGGAACTAGAGGCCTCATCTTTTTCTCTTTTTGTGCATCCTCATCCTCCTCCTCATGGAAAACAGACGGGACGGCAGTTCGTTTTCCTGATCCTACAAGACCAAACCCCAACTTTCTAGCAGGGGCATTGCTACTCTGCCGTGTGTCTGACGAAATTGACTCCATGATGGATTCATCACTAGTGCCATTTTGTAGAACCGCATCACCTGCCATATGGAAGATTGGAAGTTCAAATCCATTTTTTTTATTATTAAAAAAAAAAAAAAAAATGGAAAAGGAAATAAAAGGATGGGCAAAAGAAAGCTTACCAATATGGTCATCATGACCACAATCACCATCAGAGGTCCGTTCAACAGCCTTATCTTTGCTCCCCACATCAGTTCCATCAGGCATTATCTCATCACTTCCATTAGTTACATGAACAGATGAAAGTTTTAACGCATCTTGCTCCTGCTGTCTATGTTGTTTCTGTTCCTCATCAGCCCTCCTCTTGGCCTCCGCAATTTCTTCCTCTTCTTTTAATCTATCAACCAAGTCCTCCTCCTTTTCCCTTAGCCTCCTCCTCCTCTCATCTGAGCTATAACTCTTATGTTTCCTCCTTTTGGTGTCCTCATCATCACTTTCAGGCTCCTGATCCGTAATATCCCGCCTGCGCTTGTATTCCCTTTCTTTCTCCCTGTCTTTCTCCTGCTTCCGCTTTCGTTCTTTTTCTCTTTCTCTAGATTCCCAATCCTTAACAAGGACATTGTACCTATGCTCATCCTCCCGGATCTTTAATTCTCTTTGCCTCTCTCTAGTAGCTCGTTCTTGCTCCCTTTCTCTCTCGTATCTTTCAAGTTCCCTCTCCTTTTCTCGTTTCAGATCACGCTCTTTGTCTCTGCTCCTCCTATCATGCCTTCTACTCCTGTCAGGTGAGCTCGTTTCAGGTCTATCATGGTCACCTGTACTTCTTCTTTCACTTGTCATCTCATTATCGTTTTTATCTTCTGCTGCATCTGCAAAATGAGGGGAAAAGAGGAGGGAGGGGAAACCTGTTAAATAACCATTAATTACATAAAGAGTTGTCACGAACCATTGTCATATCATTGTTATTGCATAAACTGTCATTTTATTTATCAGATTCCAACACATTAATAACGAACTATAGGAACAGAATTCCTCTAGCCACTATGAAAACTCACCATTTTTCACTATGTCCACATCCGAGTCCCCATCTTTTGATTTAGCCGGCTGTTCTGAGTTTGAGTTGCCAGAACCATCGACAGATGTTTGCGAAGGAGGTGGTGGTAAAGGCCTGGTCTTTAACCTCTCTTGTAGCATGCCTGTAAGCTTCTCAAAAGCCTCACGATCTGCTTCCCTGTCTTCATCGGTCACCATGCCAAAGTTGGCGACATCATGAGTTTCTTTGTTCCGCAAATCATTGTCATCTTTTTCTGTGTCCTCAACTGAGGGCTTTGGAGATTCAGTTTTCTCAACACCAGGTGCATTTTCTTCCTCTTTATCAGTCCCTTCAGTTTCAGTTTTGAGTTTCTTTGAGTTCTCTTTTTTCTTTTCAACATAACTCTCTAAAAACTCTCGTGTTGCTTGATTAACATTTAACTGTAATGCATCAAATTTACCCCAACTACATGAGTGGAAGATCAAACATAAAAAACTAAAAGCAAAGAAATGCATGCAGTAGTTCATCAGATGACATTGGTTATAAACTTATAATCAAAACAAATATATTGGTCATAACAAAATATTACTTATATGTAATTAAAAGCATGCCTATGCTACTTTTTCTTTTTTCTTTCCTTTTTTCTCTTCCTTTATCTATTTACTTATTTATGCCAGAGGCCTTCAAGTTCAAGAATAGAAAGCGTAAAATCAGTTCTATGTACAATCCCCAGGGATGTCAATACTTTTTAGTATTGAAAAAGTATTGGCATAAAATCCAAACTTTTGAAGTGAATTGTCTTTCCATAGGACTTTTCTCAAAAAAATTTTGTTTTACCATAAAAACTACTTAAGCAGCAATCCTACAAGAAAATTTATATGCATAAGACAGCTGTGCACTTCAGCAACTGAAAAAATGCATACCTTCTAGAAAGAATTAGCATAATTCTAAAGTAGGTATTAAAATACATATTTAGGTCCTAATACATAGGAGTAGCAAATAGCATTAAAAAATTTAGATTGGTGGATCACAATTTTCAACTAAAAGAAGAACTCAGAGGAATTAGAAGATAAATCATAGGACTTCGAAACACTAAAGTACTGAAATCCAAAAGAGAGCTCAAACTAAAAGGAAACAGTGAAGGCTGGATAAAGAGCTAAAGTAGAGAACAAAGTACAAGTGATGTGAAAAAATCCTATCTTTTTCAACACCTCAGCATCATCATCATCCTTGCCTTAATCTTATATGAATGGGGTTGGTCACATGAAATCTTTCTCCATCTAGGAAAAAGAAAAGGTAAAAATGCAAAAATTTGGAGAAGAATGAATTATTTTACGAATGGATTCTTGGGCTCATGAACTGTGTGGCATTTGCTTTTGAGGACATATCATGAAGAAATTGATCATCTCAAGTGAATGAGCAATTCACTTAAGTCTTGTTAGTTCAACATAAATATGAGAGAGAGAAACTGATGAATTCCACCATTAAATGGGGTTCTCACCAAGGCATCACTCCATTACCAAGTCACAAGGGCCTATTTGATTCAATTGCTGAATAAAACACTAACCAACGCCCAAAGAAAACTTATTAATAAGATGGTCAGAAGGAAAATGAAATTATTAATTGTAAATTATATATAATAATAATTAGAAAGTGATACATATCGCTAACAGTCCAGACAAAAGTGGCAGATCGATAAAATTGGAGTTTCAAGTACCAGTAATGGCCGCCTAACATAGCAGTCCCTTCATCCCTTGTGATGGACAGGAGTTATAACAACATTTAAGCAACTGTAACAGCAGTTAAAGCAGCGAGGGTTTTTCAACCTCACCTAACTCTCACTAAATGAACTCGTATATAAAAGACACGGTTTGATGAAATTGAGATTTCAAGAACCAGTAACGGCCGCCTGACACAACATCACTTGTGATGAACGGGGTAATAACAAGGGTTAAGCAATGATAACAACAATTGAGAACGTGAATGTTTTGCAACCTCATCCAACTCTCACTTATTGAAGCATAGATCCCTAAAAAAGGGTGACTGACTTATATCGTGTCCGTGTCGGATATAGACACTCATCGGATACTCGCGGATATCTAAACCTGCATTATGTTATATACTTTGACATGTCCTTGCCATATTCCGCATCCTATTATTTAAGAATTATTCGTGTCGCCGTATTCCTATCGTATCGTGTCGTGTGACTCGTGTCCATATCCTGTGTCCGTGTCCATGCTTCATAGACTCTCCCTATATGAACTATTATGCATAATTTAATATTAGAATCTCATTAATTGGAGCTTGCAGCTATTTTTAATGAATTTTTATGATTTTTTAAAAATGATTTAATATAAGCAAAAGCCTATATATTCTATTTTTAAGGCTTTGTTTAATTAATTTCTAAATTTCACAATTAAACATGAAATTATATTGAAGATAATTAAACAATAATTCTCAACATCATACACATACATAATCAAAATGGCATAAGATCGAGGTCACATGTCTGAAAAGAAATCACAACAGTGTATCACTGGAGGGCCCCTATTCTGAGACTACAAATAAAATTGGGACCAGAGCTCCTCAAGTTTCATCCCAGATTGTAGGAAATATATAAATGAAAATTCCTAATACGTTGTCCTCCCTATCTGCAGAGTCTTGAAGTCTTCTGATTCAAAATCTAACCATATATCTTGTGTTTTAAAACTTTTGAAGGCTAAATCTAAGCTTTTATAAAAGACAGAACTCCGAAATCAAGGAAAAATTTTAAATTGAAAAAAACACTCTTATAAGTCATCATTGAAAACTGCTGGTTATGGTGCCTTTAATTTAAGGGCTGTTATGAGGATGTAACAGGCGCTTTATCCACTGTTACAAACAGAGACACACAATTGTGTGCAACAAAGACCAATGTTTGCAATGATAGAAAGCGCTTTAATTTAAAGGGCAGAAAAAATGTTTGCAAAAGGGAGGTTTGGGGATTCGAAGGCTGGATATGTTCAATAATGCTTTGTTGGGTAAATGGCTTTGGAGATTTGGGGGTAACAGGACAAAATTATAGAGGCGTGTCATCTCCTGTAAATTCGGGAGAGGAAAATGGAGGGTGGCTATCTAGGGGGGCAAGAACTCCAGCGAGTATGGGATCTTGGAAACTTATTCGGAAGGGCTGGATGAGTTCTCCAAACGTATCTAGTTCAAAGTTAGGAGCGGGAGGCATGCCAGATTTTGGGAGGATCAATGGTGTGGGGACTTTGAGCTGTCTCGTAGATTTCCTAGCCTCTTCAGGATTTCTGCGAACAAACATGCTGCACTTGCTAACTGTTATGAGCTTAATAATGGAAGGGTGACTTGGGATGTTCAATTTCGCCAACAGTTCCATGATTGGGAGCTTATGAAGGCTACAAATGTCCTTGCGTTGATATATAGCCAGGTATGTGCAATTTCGCCGACCGTTCCATGATTGGGAGCTTATGAAGGCTACGGATGTCCTTGCATTGATATATAGCCAGGTGGTGGAGGGTGTGGGTATGGATGAGATGGTGTGGGAGGGGTCCTTGAGAGGGGAGTTTGATATTAAATCCTTTTATCAAAGTCCTACGGAGAACCCTGGCCCCTCTTTCCCTTGGAGAGCTGTTTGGAAGACAAAAGCCCCTTTGAAGGTGGCTTTCTTTGCATGGTCTGCTGCCCTTGGAAGCATTCTCACTCTCGACATCCTCAGAAGGAGACGTCAGGTTGTGGTGATCTAGTGTTGTATGTGTTAAGAAGTCGGAGGAATCTGTGAATCACCTTTTGCTTAACTGCCTTCTGGTGAGGGATATTTGGGCTATGTTCTTGGTTGCTTTGGGTTAGGGCTGTAAATGAACCAAGCGTTTGACGAACAGCGCAAACTTGGCTCGCTAAAAGCTCGACTAATGTTCGTTTGTTTAATAAACGAACCAATCTCATACAGATTTTTTAAGCTCATTTAATAAATGAACCAATCCCAAACAGCCCCCGGCTCGGCTCGTATGTTCGTGAACATGTTTGCAAACAGGCTTGTTAACAAGCTCGTTTGGGCTGTGAAAATTATAAAGAGAACTTTGATAATTATTTGTGATGAAGCCTTAGCTCACATATTACAAGCCCATTAATATTTGGTTCCTTTTATTTTATATGAGCCCAACCCAATTCATATTATACACTCATCCCTTTTAAAATAAAACCCAAGCCCATCAAGCCCATATATATGTCTAACCCTATTATTCTATTATCACCTTCACTCTTAACGTCACAATTAGGAGGCCGCACACTACTGCCACAACCTCCTGACCCTCTCTACAGCAGCAATCATGGACAACACACACCCTCTCTCTAACTCTCTCAACTTTTATTTTCACTATTATGGTGTTTAAATCTTCTGATCATACTGTATCTATACAGTAATCATTCCCTATCTTTCCTCTCTCTCTTCTCTCATCTTACGTCTCTCGTTTTTCTCACATTCCAATATTCCATGGTCTGTGATTTCTTGTGTGTGTGTGTGTATACACATACATATACATATACATACATACATACATGGAGGATGTATCTTTTGGTTTGGGTATAAACGAGCTCGACTCAAGCAGCTCGTGAGCTCGTCAAACCACTTCGAGCCGAGCTCGATTAGAATGAAGCTCGGTTCGGCTGAAAATGAGCCTAGCTCGAACATGACTAAAGAGATGCCAAGCCGATCCCAAGCACTCTAAAGCTCGGCTAGGCTCGATTACAGCCCTACTTTTGGTGTGGTTTGGGTGTTTCCTTAGTCAACAGCTGATTTTTAGAGGCTTGGAAAGGGTGTAAAGTGGGAGCCGAGTCAGAGATGCTTGGAGGGCCACTCCCCTTTGTATTTGGTGGGACTTGTGGCGCGAGAGAAATAGGAGATCCTTTGATGGGGAGGAGTCTCCTATTTGGTCGCTCAAATACAATATATTTTCTTTATTCTTTTGGGTTAATGGGCAAAATTGTACATCTATGGATAGTCTTTTGGATTTTGTGGATAGCTTAAAGTTGTGAAGTCGCTGTTAGGCAGCTTGTTTTTCCTTTCGGAGAGCTCCCCCCTTTTGAGTGCCCTTAATGAAGTATTACTTATTAAAAAAAAAAACTAAATAGTAGTAAATACAGAAGATATGGAACAGTTTTTTTTTTTTGGGATAAGATTTTTATAAAAGACGCTCAAAAGAGGAGCGCTCCCAAAGAAGACGACAGCCGACCAAAATCAACACTAGAGCTTTAAGCTATCCACAAAATCCAATAGACAATCCATTGAATTACAATCCCTCCCATTTACCCAAAAGAATAAAGTAAGAATATTGTATTTAATAGCCAAAATCGGAGACTCCTCTCCTTCAAAGTATCTCCTATCTCTTTCGCACCACAGACCCCACCAAATACTAAGGGGAGTGGCCCTCCATGCATCGCTGACTTGGCTCTCCATTGTACAACCTTTCCAAGTCTCTAACAAGTCGACCGTGGATTCTGAGAACACCCATGGAAGACCAAACGCAACCAAAAACATAGTCCAAAAATCCCTAGCCACAGTTGATTCTGAAAAAATAAATTATCACTGCAACTGCCCCTAAATAGAGGGTAAATGGTATTTATGAGTCGTATTGTAACTTGATGGACAAGAAGAACATCCAAATGCCTGATGCATGAACTTTCGATACATAATTCTTATATATAAGCAGCTTAGTATTATTCTCAGCATAAGTTTTTGAAATAGAAAATATGATAGTCTGTAAACCACCAAATATTTTGAATAGACGACTCAGTTATCTATTTATAGTGACAAGCACCGAGCCCTAAAGCAATTTTCAAAAATATAGTCCATCATTTCAACTAGAGAGCAAAAGAATGTGAAGGAATTCAAGAGAAGTGCTTCCGAAAGTAGAATCAGGTAATTTTAGGCCCCCACATATATAGTAACATTAATAAAAGACACACACACACAAAGAACTGAGAAAATTACATAGGCATGCTACAAAGCATGTGTAAGAATACATAAAAGAAACGAAAACCAATACAATGATATACATTAGAACATTGTTGAAATTTGCTTTTGAGACAGTAAAAGCAAGTGAATGGCTATGGTACCAGTGCGATCTAGTAACTATGTTCAACACTGTTAACAAAAAATATATATCTCCAATTAGAAAGCCTATAATGCAAAGAAAGAAACGAACTCTCATCTTGCAGTGAATTAATAACAGGAACCAAGTATATTGAAAAAAAACACCATAAAATATGAAACCAAGAATCTCCAATTAGAAAGCCTATACGCAAACAAAGAAATGAACTGTCATCTTGCAGTGAATTAATAACAGAAAACAAGTATATTGAAAAAAAACACCATAAAATATGAAATCAAGAATACACACGCACAGAGATAGAGAGACTGAATCATACCACCAATTCTAGCCCATCAACATTTAATTTACTCAGCAGCCGTAATGCACGTAAAACCCCTTCAGCAGAATCAAATTCACAAAATCCAAAACCTTTTGGAGTTCCATTTGTGGGATCTTGAGCGCGTTTCCAATTCTTGACAGGTCCACAAAGCTTCAAAAATCATACAGATCGTAATTAGCTTAACCCAGAGCTCCAAATAGACTTGAAAACATTTTAAATATAGACCAAGGAACCCAGAACTTTGAAGAGAACACATAAGAAAAAGTAGATAATATGTAATGAAAGTAACCTACTTGAAGGAGAGAGAGCATGAAATCATTTTCCACAGTCGATGCTATCTTCCCAACATAAACTGTGGTTTGGGGTTTTTCTGCTGGTGTTACACTTGGAGCAACAGATGGCCTAACAACAGGAGGGATAATTGGAGGACGAATTCCTGGAACAGGTGGACGTGACAAAATGGGGAGCATGCCAATTGCTCCTGGAGGACGTGGAGGAAATGGTGACCGAATCATCGTCGTGTATGGAGAAGGATAACGAGGAATTCCTGCATAAATGGGAAGAAATCTATGCAAAACTATCAGAGCAAGTTTACAAGCTGCAAACAGTACAACAGAATTTCTGAGCACTAAATACATGTACATAAAAATAATCACAAGAATAATTAGATGCTGTTACCACACATTACAAGCATAGATGACAGCATAGGCAAGGCAACAAGCACCAGCTGAAAAGATTAACTTGAAGGAACATGAAGAAAATAACATCAAATTCATAGTTCATGGATAGGTGAAGTGGACTTACCTTGTACATCCACTTGTAAAATGGTAGCCTTCTCAAACTACCCCATGCATCAATTGTGACGTTTTGAAATCGAGTAACACGAGACTTCGAGTGTCTCATCACACCAATGCAATGGACGTTACAAGTATAATTTAATGTTCCACAGGCACTAAATAACTCAACTGTTAACAACCCAATGCTCAGCATAACAAACACAGGGAGAGAAAACCAGAGACGGAGAGAGAGAGTAATTTAAAAAAGATTGTGATACCTTGGAAAATGTATCGGGCACTCAGTTGCTAACATAGTCTGCTGCCGGTAGTTCAAGTTTGAAGAACCCATTAAAGAGAAAATACCCTTATAACTACCAGATAAAAGCCAACTAAATGAACATGACACAACCAAACATTGTTTAGCATGACAAATGGGAGAAATACATTTGTTCAAACTGTGCCATATCATTCAATTTGTAATCCATGAGACCAGTTTTGAGCAGAGAAACAATAAACTGTTTGGTAAATCAATCTCTATTTCAAATACAATCAAGGAAATTAAGCAAATGTTTGCATACCAAAAGAGGAGTTGTAGAGTGGGTGGTCGCTAAAGAACAGCATTATGAAGCCTTCCAACCTTTCTCACCGTAATCAATCAAGACACTGTAGGAGAAAACATCCCGTCATCGATACCCCTTATCCAACCAACACGAATTGCCCCCAACTCCTTTCAACCAAAATCTTTCCCTCTAAATACTTATCAATATATAGATAGATAGATAGATGTATGTATATTTCCCTCAGACCACTAAACCATGTAATGCTATCCATGAATAGTAAATATCAATTAAGCTTCAACGTGTGTGAATTTACATAGACACACATATTGTTACACAGTTTATTAATACTTGGGACCTTATAACTCCTTTAATTACACAAAGCCAATGGCAAATTCAAAAGGTATTTGGAAGTTGCAGCAGTAACAACTACTAACAATTATAGGTATCAAGTTGATTATAACCACAAAATCAGACCCAACAACTGCAATTCCATTCTTAAAAATTGGTACAGAGAAGCAAACTGTACATATTTGAAACTAAAAGCAACGACTTTACAGTTAAAGAATGAACATTTTAACAATGTATAAATACCGAAACACTCCGCATAACTATACATATACAGAAATAATATACTATAGAAAGAAGAATAACCCACCCGGAGGAGGTATTGTGCCATGAGGGGCGTGCGCTGGCATGGTCTGATAACCATTCTGCATCGGCGCATAGTGTCTAAGGGCCGGGTTGGGAGGCTGAGCATAGTGGGGAATCATCTGCGGCACAGACGCCCCAACCGATCCGCCAACGCTGACAGCGCCTGGAACCATGACCGGTACATGGCTCACACCAGGTGGCTGAACACTAGGGTTCTGATAGGCCGAATTCGGCAAATTAGGGTTCGGGAGGGGCGAGAACAGCGGGGCGGCGGGGAGGGGAACCGGAGGCGCCACCGGGCGGAACGACGGCGGTGCCGACGGAGGAACGGCGGGGATCTGGGGCGGAGCATATGGCTGGACCGAAGGTGGCTGCGGCGGAGAAATGATCGGTGGCGGAGGGGATGGATTAGGGTTTATCGGAACAGATGTAGTTGGGGTAGACGATGAGGGAGGTGAAGACAGATCGGTTTGATTCGATTGAGGGGGTGGGTTTTCGGGTTCGGATTGTTGGGAATTGGGTTCTGTAGTAGGAGGAGGGGTCGAAGAATCCGCCATTGACGACGCTCCGCGAAGAAGAGCTAATAATGCTGGTGTTTTGGTCTCTCTGTGCCCTAGAAATTGGGTTTCTCTATGTATAGAGGGAGGGATTGGGTGTATAGTCGGTGTAGAGCTTCGATTCGAATTGGGACACGTGGCGCGTGAGGACAGGTAGTTGAAGAATGTATGATTTGCGAGAAAGGAAGTATGTGTAACCGATTGCTATTATCGTCATACCGCTTCACTGGAGAATATCTGCGCCATATTAAATAGCGATTCTGACGCAATCAATCACATTCATACGATGGTTTGTAATATTTGGAATACTGTGATTTTAGTTGCGAACGGAGCGTAGCGAACACGAATAAAGTTAATATATATTACGTATCCAACGACAATGCAAACCATCTTAGTACAAACAGAATATATGTGCAATCGCTTGTAACCTTTTATACTAGTTATTTTTAATAAAGTCTAATAAGAAATTCACACACTACACATTTTTAAATTCTAATAAGAAATTCACACATGACGCATTGCTCCTATAACGGAACATCAATTTTTACTTTTTTTTTTTTTTTTTTTTTTCCTTTTCTTCCTTATTCATCCGTTAACTTTTTACTTTTGAAATCTAAAAATACCACTACTACACTTCTTAGTATCACACAATATATTACTTTGGATTAATTTTAGTGACACCTCCTAAGATTTGGCCGAATATCAAATTGAAATATTTTTCGAAAACTATTATTTCTCATGTTATAAATGTTTATTTGGTTTTTCGCTTACATTATAACAATTAGCTGCATTTGGTGTCAGAGATGTAAAATGACTGAAATAGCCATTGACTTTTTAAAAATAGCTCTTTAGTAAAGAATTAGATAAAAAGGCTAAATTATTCTTAAATATTTTGTAAATTTACAAATTAAATTACTTTGTATATATCTTTATTGCTTCTTCTATAATGTACTACGTATCGTCCCTCCCACCACCAGTGCTATAAAACTCCATAAACACTGGCAGGAAGCTAGATGCGGTTTTGGAGATGACCCATTTGGAGCGAAGCGATGTAGGACCAAACCCAAGAGAGAACGGGGTTATTATGGGAGATTGGAGGGAGGGAGAGAAAGGTCTGTTTCAACTTCTTCAGAATCGAAGAAAGAGATGGCCCAATTAAGGTCGGTGATGGAGGACTCGAGGACGTTTGAGGCCTTGCAGAAGTCGTCGTCGGTGGTGATAGTGAATACTGGCGAAGGACGCATGTTGAATTCAATCAGTGGTTAGTAAAAAAATAAAAAAAATGTAACCAACAAATTTCATACCCAATAAACCATAAACTCCAAAATTAGAATTCCCAAATCAAATCTGTAAATACCCAGATTGATAAATTGAAAGAAACAGTTAATGGGTATTGAATTTCGGTCTCACCAGAATTGATTAATTTCCAAAAATAAAATAATAAATAATAAATAATAAATAAATATATATATATATATAATAATTTAAAAAATCATATACAATAAACCATTTACTTTAAAATTTGAATTCGCAAGTCAACTTTAACCATCCAGATTGCGAAATCAAAAGAAATAGGGATAAAGTGCAATAAACCCCCTCCAACTATACCCCAAGTGCAACAAACCCCCCTCAATTACAAATAACCCCCCTCAACTATGGTTTAGGTGTAATCTTAAGACCGAGAATGTTTTTCAGGTCATTTCAAGTTACCGGAAACTAGAAAAGTCTAATTTACCCCTTCATAAAAGGGTGCTGCATCACAGTGAGGAAAATAAAATGCCTGGCAGACACGTGTGCAGCCTATTGGCTGCTGACTTTATTTTTTAATTTTTCCTTTTCTTTTCTTTATCTTCAACTGGGTCTCTTCTCACTCCCCTTTCTCTCTAACTCGTTGCTGTCCAAGCCGTCGATGTATAACGCCATGAACCCTCAAATTGAAAAGATGACGACTAAGCTGGCGATTGACAGAACAGCGGGCAAGGCGATCACGAGCTTGGCTGTGGCGGCTTGATGGAGATAGGCTGGCTGTGATGGTAAGGCAGGTGGACTGAACGGAATAGGCGGCGGCGGCTCAGCCAGTGGAAGGCTCGGCTAACTCAGCCATGAATGACTCGCAGCGGCGGCGAGCTTGGCGGGATTGAACGGCGGCCGAACTCACAGCGAGCAAGGAGGCTACGGACGGTGGAAAGGATGAAGACGGCCTCGGCGGTTTCGGCTTTGGATGATGTCGGCTGTGATGGACGGCGGGTGGTGCAGTGGCGGTGATGTATCGGCGAGGGCTCGGCCGTGAGAAAGAAATGCGGCGATGGAGAGGAGTGGCCAGCAAGGATGAATCCAAGCTTCTTGTTCTGTAAATGGGTTTTGATTTTTATTTTTATTTTTACTCATTATATACTAAGCTAACATTTGAGTACAATAAGAGAAGAAGAAAAAGGGCTATTTGGGTAAAGGGAAAGGATCTTCCGTGTTCGCTGGCAACCATGGCTGTGATCAAATTTGGCTGAAACACGACGTCGAGGTGGAGCAGTGGAATCGATAATGGAATGAACTAATAAGGGTGAGGAAGATGATGATGGAGGTTATGCTAATTTGCGTCAAAATGCCTGTGCCAAAATGAGTGTGACCTTTTTTGTTCATGAGAAAGAAAACTCTTTGCACATGTGATTCATTTGGGGCAGCGAAGACACTCAATAGCAGAACGCGCATACGCATTGGAGGAGTAGCGCCACAGATTGATGGAGGAAGAAGACAATGAGTGAATTAGTTAAGGCAATGGTGTTTCATGGGCATTACAATCTTTTAAATTTGATAAGGTGTATGGTCATTTACATAAATTTGGCCCCTCACGTGTAAGGAAATTGATTAGCCGGTTGTCGGATTGGGTAAAGTGTAACAAACTGAATAGTTTAAGGGTGTTTTTTGCTCATTTTGAAATTCAGGGGGGTTTTTTGCTCATTGGTGTATAGTTTAGGGGGGTTTAATGCACTTTACCCAAAGAAATAGTGGGTGGGAATCGAATTTGGGTCTCACTAGCGCATCGACAATTGTCACATGTGATCGCATAGCGTGTTTGACACTCTCTTCGATGGTGTACACAGGAGCAACGAAGCCTGTGTTCTTGATTTCCAGCAAATCGACAATGAAGTCGGTGGTGTACATAGGAACAACGATAGTGCACAGAGGAACAACAAATAGGCAATGAAGTCGTCGTTGGTGGATCGGATTAATATGAAGCGCGGAACTAGATGTTGATTTTCGTATCGATTCCGGGTAGGTCTGGCAACTTGTGTTGTCTCTGGTGGTGTAATAAACTCTCACAGGAAGTGGAGCATTGCGCTTGCACATACGAGGTTTGGAGAACAAGGGGGTGATGTTTGCAAGACTCCTCAACAACGGTCGCGTGGATAAAGAATTATAGGAACTCACCGTTAAAGGGTGTGATACCCTTCGGATCTGAGACACGGGTTTATCAGGCCCAAGCCCAAACCCGAGGGAAATATCAAACAATTAATATTTTATAACGAACACAAAATAATAAAAGAATTAAGAATTAAATAATGAAGCCGAAAGAATTTAAAAATCATCCTCCACGAATACAATTCGGGAATCCATCTAGTGGACCCCTAAATAAAATCCCAACTGAACTTTTAAAATAACTAGCATAAAACCAAAACTAAAACATGGAATGAAATCCTACATCGTCGGTAGAGTGAATAATAGTCTCTGCTCAGCACGATCAAGCCAAAGACTGGAAATGTCCGATACCTAAAAAATGTAAGAGTGGGTCAGGCCTACAAATAAGTTCTAATCTGACTGCAATCCATACAGTGACCCGATACGCAGATACACCGTAGATACCTCACAATATCTACCTAGTCCATACATATATATATATATATATCCACACTAAGGGACGTTCACTAGACTACAGTAGGGGTCTCAACTTGAATAGAAGGCAACATGCGAAAACTATCACGCCCCTAGACCATGGTCCGGATTGTGAACACAACACACAAACAATCATAGTCTCAAAATCACTAATATCCCTGTAACCTGTCTTAACCACACATCCACCTATCTATTTCCTTTTACAAAACCAAGACTGAAAATAAATAGATAAGACGCACATATTGCAACTTTAAAGTTTTAAAGTCTAAAATAACATTTATTACATACCAGGAATACTTTAAAGAAATATAATACAAAACATAGTCTATTATGTAGAACAAAACATAACAACACCAGCCCCGACTCTGTCTACAGCTGAGGAGGAACACCCTCCACACCATCCATGCCATGACCTGAAAAGATGTGTATAAAATAGGAATGAGCAACCACAGCTCAGCGGGAATTACTTAAAACTCACTCCTTAATACCTCCGTGAATCCAAACAAAGAACAGACAAAGGATAATGGGATCATACGAGCTTGGAAACAAACAGAATATAAAATGAGATAATAAAATGAAGTGTCATGCAATGCTAATGCCAATGCTAATGCCACTGACACTTCTCACTTCCCAAAGATCCCATTTCCATCACAAAAAGTTAATGTAATCCGCCCAGGCTGCTCCCCAGTACCACAAGA